CAGCAAACTGTCTGGGCAGGAGAAAAACGTACCATCCTGGAGGTTTGAAGCCAAGCACTAATCACTCAGCCAGCCATGAAAAAATAAGTCTACATGTTGTTTTTCTTGTCGTTATGGCTTTGAATAGCATATCAAAAATAACCTGTTTGAAAACTTGCACCAAATTCTGCATATGGATACCACCTGCATGGTAAAACATAAAATCTAGGTTGTCCTGATCCAGATTTTTAAAAAATGTTGCTGGTATTTCAGGTGCAAATAAGGTGAAATTAATTCTCTAAATCCAGCAGGAGTTCAGCCCAGCCCTGTAGGGCTTATTCTTCCTAAGGTTGTACATGCCCCAGCAGCAGGACTGGGGAGCGCTGCGTCACCAGCAGCATGCGGATAGGGAGCGATCATACCCCAGGGACAGGAGGTATACTGGGCAATTTAATGCCCCTCCTTGTTACGCTGGAACGGTGCCATTGTTACGCCACACGCTAAACGGCCAACGACATTCTGAGCTCCAACCACGCTACACGCTACAGAATCCAGATCGCTCTTGGGAAGGGCAGCATACGGAGTCCCTTCCCCCCAACTGCTGCAAAGTATGAGTCACGATCAGTGGTTACAGATGTAAGAAAGCCCCACCAGGCACACAAAGAGCTAATGTCCAAGGCAGCACCGAGATAAACCGCCTCACTCACTGCGCATATATAAACACGGGAAAGGAGAGCTGCTCTATTCATTCTGAATGACACGTTTCTTGAGTTCTACATGAGCCAGCCAGCTGCGTGACAATCAAGGCATAAACTTAAGTAAATGTACGAAGATTTTCGAAGGAGACTACATGGGGTGGCCGCTGCAAACCAGTCACATAGACACGTAGAGATCGGCCACGTATGCAGGTAGTAAAATTGTGAGTTTGAGCCCTACCTGAGAGGGACCTATTGGTAGTGTTGCAGTAGCCCCACAAAGTTTATTTTATGGCTATAGGGCTGCTTCAAGCATGTTGGGGAATGGTATTGCCTTCCAATGAATGACAGGGCCTGAGAGAAACTGCATTTTCAAAATTATGATCACCTTTTAATAGATGAATTCACTCCAGAAGAAAGTACAGAATTTCTAGGCCACCTTGCTCCAGACATCAAGGCAGCTGATCCTAACTCCTTCTCAGTAACAGACTTTGATCTCAAGCCTGACAAAAGCTGAATTATCCAGACTACCTTTTTCCTTCCCCCAAAATCACTCAGCAGATAACATCCTTTCGTAAAGCAAAACTGCTTCTGGATGCTTAACTGATGTTCCTTATTGGTTAGTTCAGCTTCCAGTATGCAAAATGTTTCATTGAAGAATTAAACTCTAACCAGCTCCTGCTGTCCTTTACCGAATGCTGCTCCATCTATGGCAATTTCCAGAGCCATTAGTGTCTCTCCTGCGCAAAGAGCACAGGGGGTTCTAGTGATTTACATGCGGCAAGAGGCAGAGAAACATGCTTGTTTATGTTTCTGTGCAAGTCTAGGGAATTTGGTAGAATGGCTCTAGGGAGAACAGATAGGTCGATGTTGAGAAATCTGGCCAAAAAGAAACAGGTGTATGAAACAGGAGCTGCAGCACACAGCGAGAGACAGAGTGTTGATAAGCTACTGCTGCATGTAAGAACACGCTGGCACAAGAGATAGCAGCTGAGAACAGGTGCGTGTATGCAGGCAGAGTACAGGTGAAATCCAGTAACATGCTTAAAGCTGACAGTGCAGCTCACACACTACAGTAATATTCCTATAGAACATAACACAAAACACATTGTAAAATGGTGAATGATAGTAACTTGGCTGCAACTGGCTTTACCTCATTAACCAGAAAGATGATCAAATGCAACGCAATACATTATTGATTGATGGTGAAGGTTTAAATTGTTTTGTATAAAGCAAATTCAAGGAGTAAATATTACAGATGGTTATATTTTTATTTGTTAACATAGTATAGGCTACCAAACGTCATTGGAAAAAAAAACACAAAATTAATGTATGTATATGATGGACAGTTTAATTTTTTTGACACTGCTGTCACTGTTCACGCATCACCCCTGGCGGACAAGTCGCCATGCGGAGGCTCAGGCCGCGGCTGGGCCGTGTCAGGCTCTGATGTCATCTCCACCGCAGTAAACACTGCCAGCCACAAGCTCAGGACACTGCATTTACTCAGTCAGAGCACTGGCTCCAGGGGGGTCTGCACTCGATCACGATCCCCTGATGAGGTCATTTTCTCACCACTCTGTGCCCTGTGTCCTTACAGAGACGCACTACGAGAAAACAATGGTGCTTACAGAGTAACACTGCGAGAAAACAGTGGTCCTTACAGCTTACAGAATGACACTGTGAGAAAACAGTGGTCCTTACAGCTTACAGAGTGACACTGCAAGAAAACAGTGGTCCTTACAGCTTACAGAGTGACACTGCGAGAAAACAGTGGTCCTTACAGCTTACAGAGTGACACTGCGAGAAAACAGTGGTCCCTACAGCTTACAGAGTGACACTGCAAGAAAACAGTGGCCCTTACAGTGAGGCACGAACATCTAGTTAGGGGATGGTGTGTGACTGTGTGATCGGAAAGGGTACCACTTTACAGTAAAACTACCCTTATAAACAGGGGTGCACATAACTGGTATGCAAGTACGCATTCGTACTTATTTTATGTGCATGTGCGCTGCTATGAAAACAAAATATAATGTATTTTAATCTTTATATGCTAACGAATTCATTTGCGGTATACGGGTTAAACTGCAAGGTATTTTCTTGTCATAGCAGCGCAAATGCACATAAAATAAGTACGCATTTGCGCTTTTACGAACAATCGATTGCCGCACGTATCGTTCTTAAAGGTGAATGTGTACTTGCATGCCAGTTATGTGCACCCCTGCTTATAAAGGACAGAGGTAAAAAAAAAAATCCAGACCAAAATTTTGTTTTAACCAACAAGTTGAACATAAAGAATCACAGTCACAGAGTATTCAACTGATTGGTTGAAACAAAATCTTGGTCTGGATTGTCCACGTCTGATAATGGGTTTATGAATGGTTCTTAATTAGGTTGTAACACTTCAAATCAGTATTAGACAATTATAAAGAAGATGCATACCATTCCTTTTTAAATTAATGAGTTACTACCATTTATCAAGTGGCAAAAGAAGCATTATTATAAGTGGTACCTTGGAAGGTCCCAGGTTCAGACTCCTGTGGTCAGCAGAAAGATTTTAGTGTCGGGCCCCTGAACAAGGCCCAGGCCGACCGCTTTCTCTACTGGATATTGCTTTGGGTAAAAGTGTCTGCTAAAGAAAATGATATATAAACAGCCACACACAAATTATCTGGGAGTTGGGAATGTCTCTGGTGCAGTAAAACACCGGCTCTGGTGTAGCTGAGTAGTAAGTGCAGATCTGGGAAACATATTGTGAGTGTTTGAGGTCTGCAGGTTATGCTGGCCTTAGGTCTGCCTGGTTTCTTAGCTTACATTATGACCTGAGGTTTTAGGTCTGAAACTCAACACTACTCACATCTGACACTTGAGACAAAACTGCCTGCCAGGCAATTTAAACATGTGGTAAATTTGGCTGCTGCAGTGCATCCCAGACCATGTGGTGCCTCTTGGCTCCATCACAACGACACTATTTGCTCAATGGTAACCTGTGGAGGAAAGGAGAACCAGCTGAAATCTGCAGCTTTCTTTTGAATTCAGTGACTTTCTTGGCACAGCCTGAAACGTGCACAGGCGAGTGAGCGCGCATGCACGCACGCACGCACGCACGCACACAAGCGTGCACCTGCATACAATCATGCAGACACATACATTCACATGCATGCACACCTATATACACACGTATATTCACATGCATGCACACGTGCACATCTGAATGCATGCAGAGACTCAAGACCCCCGCACCCCCCAAAACAACTTGCATCACTCCTTACTAGGTGAGTGGGCTGGGAACCGTAGGCTTACTGCATGTTGAGAGCTTATCCTGGCAATCTGACAATCTGCATGTAGCGACATGTCAGACATAGCTGCAGGTATGTGAGAGGCGTTGTCTCGTGCTTGTCATGCATGTGTCATGTTCGGGTGGTGTCGCTTCTGTCAACCGGCTGACCCTGACACGCGGCCCACAATCCACTGCTCCTGCAAAGTGACACACACATCATCGCTGTCCTGCAGAGTCAGGTCAAACACGGAGATCCCAACCATGTTCCCGGCGGTGACAAACCTACACAAGTCGCAGGACAGAGCTACAACTTTACTGCAAATAGAGCAATGAGAAATCAACAGTCAATAAAGTCACCCAGGCCTAGACAATTTTACTCTGCAGATAAATGGATTAGTATACTGTACTTTAACATCGTGGCTATACTGCAATGCTATTTACCTCAAAGAATATGAACAAATGCTCTGCCATTTGTAAACATTGCCAGTAGTAAAAATACTACATTATTCTTCAATAAGTTCTGCAGAAGTACAGATACGAAGGTATGAAGTCTTACTCTTCCCTTCTGGGATCAAAGTCTTAGTGGCTGGATGTTGCCGGACACACGGAATATGTGGAACGTGGTCACAGAGAACATTAGCGCTAGGTGTGACAGAAAGTGGAGAGTCTGAACGCAAACGGAACACAGAAAAGGTGGAACGGACTTCAAATGGTCTGTCAAATCATTCACTTACCAATATATTACTAGCTTGTAATACAATACTGCACACAAGGCAAATGACAAGGAAATGTCTGTACCAAATCACAAAAAGTGATCTTCAAAGAAAAACAAAATTTCTAATTTTATTTGACTGCCTGCCTTGCACCATAACATTTCAGGGGTTACCAATCCTACATAGTTTCAAAAGCTTGTGGTCAAATCAACACCAGAATTTGACTACAAGTCTCTGAAACTGATACCTTGTATGCAATAGCCTACAGTCAGGCATTCAGCCCAGATTTTAGCTCATACCAACTGGTTCTAGAGGAAAACAAAAAAAACTGAGTTTAGCATTATAGGTCAGTGGTTTATTAGACCGGCAGTTTATTATTCACTTCACAATTGTCCATACTTTGCTTACAACACACAATAATCATTTACTCTATTGCATACAACAATCCCAAGAATGACATCCAAAAAATGATAATTACAGTAGTCTGAAACAGACTTGGGATTAGTGTATGGTGGCTAGCAAACTCCATTCAGCAAGGCAGGTGAGTGTCAGCCACTGAGAATCACAACAAGCAGGAGGGATGCACAAAAACGACATCTCACACCTGCCAAACTAATATTGGCACAACCAATAAGTAACATCATCAGGCTGAAATTCCCCAGTCCAGGTCTTAACATTTTTTCCATCTGATTCTGTCTGTCTGGAGGACGACACTAAGCTGTCCCTTTGAAACGAGCCTGGATCTCTTCCAGGGTTTTGCCTTTGGTCTCTGGGACACAGAAGATCGTAAAAACAATGTTGAGTGCGCAAAATGCGGAAAACAGCCAAAATGTCCCAGCACTGGAAAGGAGGTTCTGAAAGACAAAATATCAATGAATGTCAATTATTATAACGCACAGTGTGATCAGTGCCAACCCGCATCAAGTCTCTAAGGTTACGAACCAAGGGTCCCTTACTGTGAGATCCTGGAAAGTCTTGGTGACGACAAAAGCTGCACTCCAGTTGGTGAGGACACAGACGGAACTGGCCAGACCGCGCACAGGGGTGGGAAAAATCTCTGACATCACCAACCAAGGGGTGGGTCCCCAGCCAAGGGCAAAGCCTGGGGGAAGGGAAAATGCATCCACCCCATGATCAAAAGCAGTATAAACGCTTAGGAAACCCAAAAGGGCTTCCTGTAGATTTTATGGTCTGCCAACAAATGCTTATGTGGTCTTTAATGATCCATTTAGCGGAACACAGTATTAAAGATGAAACAATGATGTAAAGTCAATCAAATCAGTACAGTGTGCAGATCATCTGGGGGTGAAGAAACAATGAATACAATGAAACATAACCTTACTGTTCCGCATGAAAAAAAAAGTTAAAGTTAAGGAAAAACTCCCTAGAAGGAAGAAGCAATCAAGGTAAGGTAACCAACATGCACTAATTACAGTGCGTTGCCGCACTCACCACATGACCGCATGACCTCAGGGATGAGAACCTGAGTGCAACCATGCGGCGGTGATACCTCAGCACCAAACCACTCTGAACAGACCAGTGAGTTTTTTTCCAGTGGCTGGAGTGCCAATCCTCCTACCAACCCCCAAGTTATTCCCCTGTAAGCTGGAGGACCTCCTTGCAGGGCTGGATGTAGATTAACATCATACCCAGGATGAAGCAATAGCAGGTTAAGGGCCTTGCTCAAGGGCCCAATGGAGTAGAATGACTTCACGGAAGTCACGGGATTTGAACCAGCAACCTTCCAGTTGCTGGCACAGATCCCTAGCCTCAGAGCCACCACTCCGCCATAAAGCAATCAAAATCGGTACTAAAAAGATTACTTCCCCTCGTGTGCAGCCATCCAATCAGCTCTGCTCACAAAGTAGTAGTGAAGCCAGCTGCCCCAGTGTTTGGTCTTCCTCACCAGTGATGAAGACGCCCATGCTGGTGAGGGCGAGCCAGGACAAATCGGTTTGCGGGCCGTCGGACACCAGCGGGGGGTTGAAGTCCGAGGAATTGCTGGGATTCGGGCCGCACAACCTGAAGTACACTCCGAACACTGCTGTGCTGGCTGCCATGGCAACCCCTGGACCAAAAAAACAAACTTTTAGGGAAGGTTTGCTGGAGAAACACTCGGAGTGCCGCACGCGTTAAGCCCAGCGTACAGAGACACGTCACGGGATGAAGCTGGATTTAACGTCCCTCCCAGTTTAATATTTTCTTACTCAAACTTTACCAGGTGGCTGGGTGGAGCGGCTGCTGGCATCCAAAGCCCTGACTCACTATAAGCAATATAATGGGAGGAATTCATTTTCTTCCCCATTTGACACCACACGCAATATAAAGAACCCTATCGCTGCCTAATTTTTGCTGTAATTCAAGCTACAGGACACAAGACTCGTTAAACCCAAGACAAAGGAACTGTCAGACCGCAGTGGCTACCTGTAAAATTACACTGCACCCTGTGTTTAAGGGAATCAAGGCTTCTACATTACAGAGCCATTACAAGGTATTTTCTTAAGGAAAGGAATTTTCAATATGCAAAACATTACATATCCAAAGGAATTAACAGCATTACAGACATATCTAGGAAAAATTTAAGGTGTGGGAAATAAAAACAGGAGCATCAAATAAAACCGGTGAACTTTAAAATAACTGAACACAGGTATAAAGATTAGTCATATTAGGCTGTATGTCCAATGGCAGAATGTGTGTGGTCAAGGATTATGGGGCTATTTGACAGGTCCAGGGGTCTCTCATACTGCTCATTATAAGGTCCCCTGTATTTGTAAAATTTATGAAGATAAACTGAATAGATCTTACACCGAGAAAGTGATTTAACTGCTTTGTTCATCTTAGCTTCATCTGTGGTAATAAATTATGAACAACAGCAATAACTTGCAATAACTTGCACAACACAGCAGGGGTCAGTAGTGGCAATGGGTGCATTAAACAGGAAGCACTAAATACGCATTGACAGCTGTACAGTTAACTCTCTGAGTACTTTACACTGTGCAGTAGCTTTCTGGCACACTCACCGATATTTACGTACCTGACAAAATGAGCAGGACCTTCCTCCCAGCCCGATCCATAACCAGCGCGGCCAGGGCCGTGAAGGTCACCTGGAAGGCTGCGACTATCACCGAAGCCACGTCGCTTTTCTGATAAGCAAACGACGACGCCTATCATCAGCCACCAAATCCACATTCATACAGAAACGCGCATCTGACTTTGAGCCAGGTCAGACTCAGGCCACACACATTACCCTCTGCTCAATCTAGTGCCACTATATCGTTAGGACAGGGGTGGGCAATCTTATCCAGAAAGGGCCATTGAGTAAGTGGATTATGGCTACAACTCCCTAATTAGATTACTAATTAGAGGACTGATTGGCTGAAGAGTCCTCACACTTGCGTTTGAACAGCTGACCTACAGGTTATCTTAAAACCCTGGATACATATTGGCCCTTTGTGCATTAGATTGCCCACCCTGATGTTAAGGAGTTCTTCAAAAGCAGGAAACAGATCCTGTATTTCAACAATTCAAATGCAACATTCCTATCTATTCTGCCAGTTTACCAGTCTGGTCCAAGGACAGATGCATCTCTGTCTCACAATAATTCATAAATCTCTGGCATTGGTTTGTAATTCAGCTTTAAGGTTTTTGAATAAAATTACTTAAAATAAACATAGGAGACACTTTATGTAAAAAATACTGTGGGAATTAAAGGATGAGCAGCCTTACGGTCTCGGTGCCATACCTTAAAGTGAGCGTCCTCGAAGATGGTCTCAGCGTAAAACATGATGGCGTTGATGCCCGTGAGCTGCTGGAAGAGCATCATTAGAACTCCCACCAGCAGGGGCTTGTAGATGCCAGGGTCTTTGAGGTCGGACAGCTGCAGGCGGCTGTCCTGCAGAGAGACAGGGGACGGCAGCACCAACTCAATCGCATCCATACTCAAAGAGAATAGGGCAGATCAGCTGCAAAAATAGATGCTAGTGGGTGGTTAGATGTTACACCTCATGGTACTAGAGTGTACCATTAAAAAAGAAAAAAACTCACCATGCCTCACCCTTTACTGGGCTTTCACTACCCTGGCTGGCTGTAATCCTATACATTACTCCCAGATTACTGTTCATAAGACGCTGTTTATCCTGGTACACCAGCCACTAAGCTGCCTTCCCAGACATAAATCAGAAACACCGGGACATGCAAGGACATTTCCTATTATTTTGGATATTGGACCGGAGTCCCAGATCCTTATCACTGCAGTCACCCTACCATTGGATGTGGTTACCCCTATTCATCCATTCCAGGCCGTGTTCTGGTGTTGATTGTAACAGGTCTGTCAGATACATTTATTCTCTGATGGCAGAGTGTCGATGATGACATTTGCCAAACAGATCAATTGCACGGGTAGGAAGCAGAACATATTACTGCAGTCTGATTATTGCCGTTTTTCTACTGAATTTCTGAACAGCATCTGAATTTTAAACCGCTAGATCATTGAATAGTAACACAATGTTACTTTCTTACTTGTTCCCCCTCAAGTAGAGTGTCACCTAATATTAAAAGTATCTTAGTAACTCAGTTACTACTCAAATACAAACCATGAACAAATATAGTAACTGCATGATATATATGAACATTTGACTTGTTAATGATGAATGAACATGGGATCAATACATAACTAATACTCCGATTCTGGTATATTAATCCATTACGTAAGAGTGTATTACAGTACTACATTATTAGTGGCTCCTCAAGTAAAGTGTTATCCAATATTATATCGAACATATTTACAAAGATAGCAGATTCTGATTGGGCTACTATCACACCATTTTAACACAAAGCAGGGAAAATAAGACCCAGTTAATCCGTGTATCATTCGTTTTTCTAAATAAAACAAAGTAAAAAAAAAAAAAAAAAAACACTTGTTTTGTTGCCTAACTGATATGAACTTTGGAATTATATATATATAAAAAAGAAAAAACAAAACAATTAATCCAACTTTGTGTATCCTGTAGATGATTAACCATTATGTTGCAACTGAGCTTTCTGGGATTGAAAACTCAAAGCACTTGCAAAGATATTTTGTGGTCATTGACCTGCACAGTCTGCCACTCACATGCTAGGAGGTTCATAAAAAAGGCTCAGTAACAAATTACAACTGTGCCTCTAATCAGAAGCTTCAGTGGTTTAACAGTCTTCAGCATAAACTTGTCAGAGAAGTCAGTGTCTCCTGAGCTTGGGCCCCTCACCTGCTCCCGGGTGGTTCCCTCGATCTGAGCACATTCCCACTCGACTGGGGCCTCCGGTCCCCGCAGGAAGTGCAGGGCCTCCTCCGCCTCCCGCCGCTTGCCCCGCGACAGCAGGAAGCGGGGAGTCTCCGGCATGAAGCACATGAACAGCAGCATGGCGGTCGGAGGCACGGAACAGGTCACCGCTAACCAGCGCCAGTCCAGCACCAGACCTGGGACAGGCACAAGATTGGGGAGTTACAGACAAATGCTGAAATGCATTCCTGAGCTGCTTCACCCATTTCAGAGAAGAAACCTTCTGAATCCCATTAGCGCCAATCAGCCTTTAAGTGGCACAGTCTTTCGGGGACAGCAAATTCAATTAGATTCAACACGATTAAGCTCAAAAAGTAGTGTTTTTGTCCAAGCAATAAAGCCCTCAGTGAGAGAATTAGGCTGAGGGCAGCTACGGCATCCTAAGCCGACAGCGCCAGATCAGCTACTCCCCGTAAGCCATGTTAATGAGTATACCAGAATCTGCTTTATTCGCCAAGCACTACATATGTACAAGTAGTATTTCCTAGTTTGTTGGGTGCTGTATTCATGGACTTACAGTGCACACAGAGCCCATCGCTACTAGTTCTTCTTCATGTTGACTCGAGAGCAGTTGGTACAGGGGCAGATACTAGTTAGGGTGCAATGTTCTTCATACTGTTTTAGTGCGCATTGGTTATAACTGCGTCAGTTTCTAATTAATGTTCTTCTGCAATGAACGCCATTGTCATACTGAATCTCCAGTTCCTTACGCCAAATACGGAAGCACCAGCTCCGTTGCGAATGAGCCTTGCATTCATAGCTGCCCCGTGAGAATGCCTTAACGTCATACCTGCCACGTAAGATCCCAAAATCCCCGTCACCACCATGAGCTGCACGCAGGACCCCAATGTCCCTCGGACACGCTCGTGGGCAGTCTCCGAGATGTAAAGCTGTAGAGGACAAAGAGAATCCAGAAGCAACTAGGGCAACAGTTCTCAAACTGAGGCCAAGATCCAAAATCACCTTGTGTAGAGTGTTGTTCCTCTGTAACGGATGCAGACTGCTTTAATGCAAGGGTTTACCCGGGCCGAAGCTCAGGGGTCTCGCCAGAAAGGGACCTCATAAAGGCCTGCCCCCCCTCTTTTCGAAAACTTTCACCATTGCCCCCCCCCAATCCATCAAACCAATGACTTAATGAAGTAGACCTATCTAACCATTACTGTTCCTTGTGTTCCATCTACAACTCAATGCATATGTCTTCTCCCATTACAAATGAAATTAGGTTAACTGGTGAATCAAAATTGCCTATAATGTGTGGGTGTGGGTGAGTTTATGTGTATGTCTCACAACGGAGTTATCCCATGCAGGAAGTTCCCCTGCCACATGTCTCATACCAGCAGAGATCAAGGATCCTCATGCTGGTGAACTGGTTACGAGGTTGGAAGACTGATAAATTGATGAATGATTAATGCAAGCACCCAAAACAGACAATTTAGCATTCAGGCAATTATTTATGGATGATTAAGTAATTGATTAATCATTTGTCCCATAATTAGGATTGACAAGGTGCATTAAAGGAATGAACAGAATTAAGTGGTAGAGAGCAGTGTCTCTCAAACCGGGCCCCGGGGAGCCCCGGATGGGGCACGTTTTTTGTCCCTTCCAACTCCCGAGGAACTGGGAGACAGCAACAGCATCTTGGGGTCCCTGAGGACTGGTTTGAGAAAGACTGGTTTGAGAAAGACTGGTTTGAGAAAGACTGGTTTGAGAAAGACTGGTTTGAGAAAGACTGGTTTGAGAAAGACTG